ACTCCCAAAATTCCTGAGCCAGCATGGCTCAGTATGGAAACCTCTCCATTTCTCCTCAGCATGGCTGGCTCAGGAATTCTGCCTCAACTTCAGGTGTTCAGTACTCCCCCGGTATTAAGGGGGTACGACCGAGTCCTTAAGACCCTCAACTTCAGGTGTTCAGTACTCCCCCGGTATTAAGGGGGTACGACCGAGTCCTTAAGACCCTCAACTTCAGGTGTTCAGTACTCCCCCGGTATTAAGGGGGTACGACCGACAGGAATTCTGGGAGTTGAAGTCCACGAGTCATAAAAGAGCCAAGGTTGCCTACCCTTGCCCTAGAAGGTATATTGGATAATCCAGCCAGCACAGTATGGGTCCCTTCTATTCCTAGAGGGATAGGCAAATGTATCATAAAATTTTAAGGAAACAATAAAACTCTATGCACAATTTGAAATCCAGATCCTCACATGGCTGAGCACCAGTTAGGGCAGGGGTAGGCAACCTTGGCTCTTTTATGACTCGTGGACGTCAAATCCCAGAATACCTGAGCCAGCCATGCTGAGGGGAAAGGGAGAATTTCCAAGCTGAGCCATGCTGGCTCAGGAATTCTGGGAGTTGAAGTCCACGAGTCATAAAAGAGCCAAGGTTGCCTACCCCTGGGCTAGACCGAGGGCCAGGTCTTTTGTATATGTCAACCTCACTAGTTAGAACAGGTCAGGAAATCAACTCCCTAGGAAAGCTGAAATTACTTTGATTGAGGATGGCTATAATTACGGGACCTTGGAAGTCTGCTTCTGCTGTGTGCCTCCTTTTTCTTCTACTCTGGTGAATTAGGGAGGTGTCTGTGCTGCTTACAAAGGCTATTTGCCCTTGGTGGATTTAAGATAAGCTTCCTCCCTTGTTCCTTTGATAAGAGTTTGCAAATCTCCTTCAAGGTCAAACTTTGTTATTTGGCGGTCTTGCATGGCTTTAACAACAACAACAAACAACCCTGGATGTGTGTTTTCACTAGTATTTTGAGTAACGGTATTATTATATGTTGCCCAGAGTCCTACAGAATTGAGTGAACTTGTATATTTAATAAATAAATGTTCTAAATAGATAATCATCAGGCACCCTTCTCATTTAGTCTTGGGTCTTCAACTAGCCCAGTTTTCTATACTCGGTCTTCATGACCCCCCAAGTTCTTCTCTTGAATTGCACTCATTCCGTCTCAAGTATCACTATTTGCTACAGTACAGCGTAATGTGCAACTAGCTGCCACTTAGGCCATGGATGCCCAAACTAAGCTAGAGAAATAAAGAGAAAGACAATATAATATCATAGGCATCCCTGAAAGCTTCTCATGTGGAAGCTTCTGATGAGTTGGTGCACAATTGGCTATAATTTATTGAAAAGGGACAGACCCAAGAGAAGGCGGCCTGTTGCATTGGCATTTAAAGAAAGGAACATATACAGAAATTCAAGAATGGAAAATCTACGTGAGCAAGAATAAAGAGTGAGGAAAACAAACTATCATTGGGGGATTATTATAGACCACCTTTCTTCATCAAGCAAACAGCATTTGGGCAAAATAAAATATCAAAGTGGCCCTTAATAAAAAGTAGACATTCGTGGGCCCATTGATGCAGAAGGAGTTTATTTTATTTTGGGGGGTTTCATTCGTTTATAGATGTTTTATCCAACGTGTTTAACCAGATCGGTTAAAGACCCAGCTCACAACGTGATAATAATAATAATAATAATAATAATAATAATAATAATAATAATAATAATAATAATAATAATAATAAAGTTGGAAGGGACCGTGGAGGTCATCTAGTCCAACCCCCTGCTCAGGCAGGAACCCTACACCATTTCAGACAAATGACGGTCCAGTCTCTTCTTAAAAACTTCCAGTGTTGGGGCATTCACTGCTTCTGGAGGCAGGTTGTTCCACTGGTTAATTGTTCTGTCAGGAAGTTTCTCCTTAGTTCTTGGTTGCTTCTCTCCTTGCTTAGTTTCCACCCATTGCTTCTTGTCCTGCCTTCAGGCGCTTTGGAGAATAGCTTGACTCCCTCTTCTTTGGGGCAACCCCTGAGATACTGGAACACTGCTATCCTGTCCCCCCTCGTCCTTCTCTTCATTAAACTAGACATAGCCAATTCCAGCAACTGTTCCTTATACGTTTTAGCCTCCAGTCCCCTAATCATCTTTGTTGCTCTTCTCTGCTCTTTTTCTAGAGTCTCAACATCTTTTTTACATCGTGGTGACCAAAACTGGATGCAGTATTCCAAGTGTGGCCTTACCAAGGCCTTGTAAAGTGGTATTAACACTTCACGTGATCTTGATTCTATCCCTCTGTTAATGCAGCCTAGCACTGTGTTGGCCTTTTTGGCAGCTGCAGCACACAGCTGGCTCATATTTAGGTGATTGTCCACTAGGACTCCAAGGTCCCTCTCACAGTTACTACTAATTGAGCAAGGTACCCCCTATACTATACCTGTGCATTTGGTTTTTCTTGCCTAAATGTAGAACCTTGCTTTTTTCACCATTGAATTTCATTTTGTTAGATAGCGTCCAGTGTTCAAGTCTGTCCAGATCCTTCTGTATCTTAAGCCTGTCTTCTGGAGTGATGGTCTGTCTTAAATGGCATAGGCAGGGTTTCCTGCCTGAGCAGAGGGTTGGACTCGAAGATCTTCAAGGTCTCTTCCAACTCTGTTATTCTGTTCTGGTTAATAAAGCATGCCTAATTTTTGTGGCTTAGTAGGCTGGGAGAACAAGCCTGATTAGGTTATTCTGCACGTAAAAGATGGCTTACTTTGATCAACAGGCTCAGTATCTTGTGTGAATGCAGACATTCAAGCAGGGTGTTCAGACCTGTTTCTTGACATGCAAATATTGTTAATATTCTTAATGCCCAGTCTACACTCAATGAGTATAGGGAGCCCTGTTCATTTAATGACCGTTCAGAGTTACAACGGACCCCCCCAAAAAGTACTGTCGACCTGGATTCAAAGTCCCAATGCCTGGGCCCTTCCCTTAGTCATGCGACTGAATTTTGGGTGCTTGGCAAGCAACCTGCGTTTATGGCCGTTTGCAGCATCGGTGGTCAGGTGGCTGCGATTTTACCTTTTTTTTTTGGTTGGAAAAAGTTGTTTGTTTACTTCTGGCTTCCAGCAAAGAACACTAATTGGGGACAATGGGTTCACTTAACATCTGCGGATTTGTTCAACGACCATGGTGCTGTAGGCCGCAAAAAAGTCCTAAAAATTCAGATGCTCGCCAACTGGTTCATATTTATGACCGTCGCTATGTCCCGGGGTCATGGGATCCCGTTTGGCGACCTTCAGACAAGCAAAGGCATGTAGGGGAAGCCAGATTCACTTAACAACCGCGTTGCTAACTTATCAATTGCAGTGATACACTTAACAACCGAGGCAAGAAACGTCGTAAAATGGGGCAAAACTCACCTAACAGACGTCTCACTTAACAACGTAAATTTGGGGCTCAGTTGTGGCCGTTAAGTCGAGGGCGACCTGTATTCTTCAACTTTCTCAGGACTGTTTCCAAGAAGCTTAGCAAACACCGGACAGATTCTGTACCGTCAGTTCCACCGTACAAACGCGCTTTGTGACTTTGTGTTAACAGGTCGTCCTCGACTTACAACAGTTCCTTTAGTGACCATTCGGAATTAGAACAGCTCTGAAGTGACTTATGACCGTTTTTCAACATTTACAACCACTGCGGCATCCCCATGATCACGCGACCCAAATTCTGATGCCTAGCAACTCCTATTTATGACGGTTGCGGCGTCACAGGCTCAGGTGATCCCCTTTTTGTGACCTTCCAATAAGCAAAGTCAAGGGGGAAAACCGGATTCACTTAACAACCGTTATAGACTTAACAACTGCGGTGAGAAAGGTTGTCAAATGGGACAAAACTCACTGAACAACCGTCTCGCTTAGCAACAAAAATTTGGGGCTCAACTGAGATTGTAAGTTGTGGTCTACCTGTATGCACCTGTATGCACTCCACTCTTGTGGACACTTCCTCCCCCCCAGGGTAAAACTGCTAAAAAATAAAATAAAATAAATGAGATCCAAGACCAGAGAGATCCATTTTATTTACAGGGCGATTTCAGTGCTGATGAACGGGATTGAAAGTGTACGTTTTATTATCAAGACATGGTGCGTTAGCTGGGACAGATCTTAGCCCTACATGGAAGTCAGACCTTTAGGCTCGGGAGACTAAGGTGGGCACGTGGGCCGTTTTTTAGATATTATAAGCCCCCAAACAGAACAGCCAAGGCCACCACCTTCTGGCAGAAGAGGAAAAAACTGCCGCATTTCCACCGTCCTGTACCCTTGCGTACAACAGTGTGGCTTTTCGTATCGTGTTTACCTCGTGTCGAGCTCACGTCCGAGAACAGAAATGAAGACGGCCTCCTATCCCCCTATAAAAAGCATCACCATCTGAGTTGGGGTGGGGGTGGGGGAGAAGGGGGAAATTTAAGGCTATGCCATGGAGCGGCGCCGCACCTCTTCCCGAAAGGTAGGGGTGGGGGGAGGAAAGAAACGATTCAGTTTCCAAAGGACGGCTTGCGGCTCCAGCCCGTTCCCGGAAGAAGCTACTCAACGTGCAACATTTAGCAGCGTCTGACACCCGAAGCCGTCTCAACGTTCCTCGGCGGTGGGTTCAGTTCTACAAGCAGGCAGGGGGGGGAGAGACAGGACAGCTTGGAAGCAGCCATGTCTCTTCCCCACCCCAGCTCCCTCCACTAAAGCAGCCCTGGACGCCCCGCCCCCAACTCTCCCTTCCCGGTCCTTCGGTCCCCGCCCAGCAGAGACTTGGCACAGATCCAGCAGGGGAGTCGGCAACTCGGTTACTTTCCTCCTCTCTCCCCAGCAGATGCTGGTTTCTTGGGGAAGAAGAGCCGGCTCGGCAGTTGGCACAGCCGACGGTCGCCCGATGGCAGTGGAATCTCCCGCGACTCCGTCGGGCGGCGGCGGCGAAGGCGGCTGCTGCACGGCGTGTTCTGCTCCCCACCAGCTCACGCACACAGTCTGGGCGGCTTTATAGAAAACCTTCTTTCCGGAACTGCTCTTGCAAGATGTCTCTGTACTCGTCGAAACCGCCTTCGATGCGCTGAACGGTGCCGTTGCCGCACACCCACAGCTCCTTGCACACCAACCGGATGAACCGCTCGTCGTGCGAAACCAGGATCAGGCCGCCCTGGGAACGAGAGGGAGACTTACATCGCAACTGGGGGGAGAGCTTAGGTCGCGAGGTCGGCTGTTCCCTCACTGCAGCTTTCTTGCTGTGTGGTTCTTAATATGGCTAAGATCCCTTGGTGCTCTCTTGAGTTTGGTTGTTTCCTTGCAGAGGTTTCATTGCTTACACTAGGCAACATCCTCCGTCAACGTTGACACCGATGACGTTACCTAGTTTGGGTAATGAAATGTCTGCAATGTCTAGCGATGTGAAAGCTGACAGACTCATCAAAAGGTTCTATAGCAGTGTTTCTCAACCTTGACAATTTTAAGGCATGTGGACTTCAACTCCCAGAATTCCACAGCCAGCATTGCTGGCTCTGGAATTCTGGGAGTTGAAGTCCACATTCCTTAAAATTGTCAAGGTTGAGAAACACTGTTCTGTAGAAAACACCCTAACAAACCGAGAGGCAATCCCTGACACAGTGATGGTGAACCTTTTAGAGACTGAGTGCCCAAACTGCAACCCAAAACCCACTTATGTATCATCGGGTGCCGGGCGGGCGTGGCCCATTGGGTGGGTGTGGCCCATTGGGTGAGCGTGGCTGCGGTGGTAACGGCAGACTGGGTGGGACTAAAAAGTTCAATCAATCAATTCCAACTTTGCGAGATCTTTTTTTTTCCCCCGCGAGAAGTTGAAATTGATTGATTGATTGAACCTTTCTCTTTTTTTGCACATGGCGGCGGAGGGCTAAAGCGAAAAGGTTTTATAAAACCCAGCTGAAGGCCTAGGATGGCGCGCGTGCCCACAGAGAGGGCTCTGCGTGCCACCTGTGGCACGCGTGCCATAGGTTCGCCACCACGGTTCTATAATATATCGGGGAAGCTTTAAAGGAAGCTATTGTGCAAGACAAATAATCAAAAATCAAGATAGCCTTTGACCTTGTCTGCTCTATGACATTGTTTTTCCACTCGCCCTTCTGTTTCTCAAAGAAAAAAAAAACACTACAGAATGGGATTTGGTTATGATTAAACATGCTCTGCAGCATTTTGTTTTCAACCTACTAAAAGTTGGTTTGGAGTGGGAACTTAGTGCCAAAGCAGCGGTCTTTTTCCTTGGGATTTGTGTGACAGATTGTACAGCAGTGGAAAAATATATGGTTGCGTTAAGCTGTTACAGATAGATGCTACGTGGTGCGAAGAATTTTTGGAGATCCAATTTCAAGGGCAGACTTATTATCAATTCACAATTTCCCCCTAAAACAGGGCTAGGCAATCTTTTATGACTCGTGGATTTCAACTCCCAGAATTCCTGAGCCAGCATGGGGGAACTATGGCCCCTTCATGACTCGTGGACTTCAACTCCCAGAATTCCTGAGCCAGCATGGCTCAGCTTGGAAAGCTCTCCCTTTCCCCTCAGCATGGCTGGCTCAGGAATTCTGGGAGTTGAAGTCCACGAGTCATAAAAGAGCCCAGGTTGCCTAGCCCTGCCCTAAAACTATTTTTTGCAACAAAAGAATCCATTAAACCTGCAGTGGCCGCACAAGGCTAGCGCGGCAGACTTACCCAGAATTTGTTGAGTGCTTTTGCTAGAGCTTCAATGGTTTCCATGTCCAGGTGGTTGGTTGGCTCATCCAGTATATAGAAGTTGGGGCTATGAGGGAAAAAAAAACAAAACAAAATTGCAATTACAATACAGGTAGTTCTTGGTTTACAGCCTGCTTTAACTGAGGCTGGAATTATGACCGTCAATCACGTCGGTTCTTCAGTGGGTCATCGGCCCATGCCTGATTTTGCTATCTTTTTTTTTTTTTGCAGTGGTTGTTAAGGGAATGTGGCGGTCGTAAAACAAACGCTGCTGTCATCAAGCAAAGCCGTTGTCCACAATGGGTGGGTTTCTTTCTTTTTTTTTTTTGCCAGAAAATGGAAATAAATGCTGGCCCCCCCAAAAAAGAGAGTCATAAATTGCATTCATTGATGGCAAATGGCCCTAAACGTGGACTGGTTGGCTGAGTGTCCCAAATTTGACCTGGTTCCCTCTCCATGTTAAGGACACCTCCTCAGCCCCCTAATTGAACAATGAAAAAACCAAACCAAACCAAACCAAACCAAACCAAACCAAAACAACAACAAAAAAACACCCCAGCAGGATTACCAAGGCATGGTCATCTGGGCAAAGGCCACCCTGCTCTTCTGTCCCCCGGATAGGCTGGCGACAGGGCGGACGGCCAATTCTCCGGAGACTCCGTAGCACCCCAGCTGATGACGGTACTCTTCCTCTGACTTCCCTGAATATCACGAGAAGTGTGAAGTTTATGCCTTAAACCAGTGATGGTGAACCTTTTAGGGACCGACTGCCCCAAAACTCCACCCGCTCCCGCCCCGCTTGCAGGGCCACCCACCGCCTCCACGGCCCACAGATCGCCCAGGCGGCCCCGCAGCATCATCTGCACGCGACGGGGTGTGAGGACGGAGTCTTGGCCTTGCTGTTCCACGCGGGTCACACCTGGGGGCAACTCTCCTCCGGGGAGCCTGCTGGGGAGGCCGCGGGGGAGGCGGGACTGGGGCGACGGTGCGCGTCCCCACAGAGAGAGCTCTGAGTGCCGCCACCACTGCCTGAAACTAATTATCTCATTATCCCAATAACTCATTATCCCAATAACTAGCTGCGAATGGAAAGCCACACTGGGGGATGCTCCTGGCCATGCTGATAAGGGGTTGTGTGGGTTAAACGTCATTTTGAACATTGATTTGTGACTGGATTCATACAGCATCTTAGAAGGGATTTTGTTTTAAACATGCTCTGCCGAGGCACAAAGGAATAATAATAATAATAATAATAATAATAATAATAATAATAATAATAATAGTAGTAGTAGTAGTAGTAGTAGTA